AAGAATTTCTGCAGTGGAATTGATAGTAACTTTATGTGTCAACAAGCTTATCTCACATTCTGTTGCTTATCTCAGCATTACTTCGTGTTACGTCTTGTTCAGTTCGGCGATGACTCAAATACGTTTTGTATAACACAAAATAATGCAATTTAATATTTAGAAATCACTATAATTGATCATTCCTATGTTAGTCATTGAGTAGATTGTACTGTAATAATCTACTAATAGCAGTAATATCATGGATACACTAGATGTACAACAACATCTGAAAAAGATTCACCCCAGTCTAGAAAATAATGTTTATGCTGCCAATAGACTGCCCATGTACACCCACGTACCAACGTATATAATATGCAATTTGGATACAGATGATAAACCAGGATCACATTGGGTAGCCTTATATATCGATACGAATGACGTCGGTCGAAATTTTGATCATAGGAAGAGCGTACGATATCATCTAGAGTTTTTAAAAAGGAATTGTAAAAGATGGAACTGGAATGTTGATAGGATTCAGAATGAGTGGACTTCAGTTTGTGGCGAATATTGCTCAATGTATTTGCTATATAAGTTTCAGGGATGTTCAATGCATAGTTTTACGAGTATATTTACGGGGAACACATTGTACAACGATATTTTAGTGGATGAGATGTTTCGCTCCTATTTTATAGATAATAAGTAATAAGATTTTGTATTTTGTAAATAAAAATTTTAACAAAATTAGGTAATGTATTTTATTGATGATTCAGATTAGCGTTGTAGATAGGAACAAAGGAGTATAATACAATAGCACTGATAATCCGACGCACACGCTGAGGAAGAATAGATAATGACGGTATTCAATGAACAATAGATAAGTAGATAAGAACAATGGAGTGCTAATGACGGCGGAGGCCCTCACCGGATATCAATTAGATAAGAGTTAATTGATCTGCACATCTCCGGAACCGTGCATCCTACGCAAAAATGGACCGCTTCTGACTCAGTGAGCCAGAACTGGTACTACATATCTACTTCCGTGTGTTTAAATATCTCAAGACGTCATATTGTACTCACTGGTACCTAAGCGAGTTGTTTAAAAATTCACAATAACACACTATAAATGAGGCAATCCAGATGCCTATTTGGAAATTAAAAAAAATATGCAAGTCGACTTATCAACCTATTCACGCCTTGTACGGAAATAGAACCGTCTCTTCCATTACTTGCAAACTCTTTGATTCTGTATAATAAAGACAAAAATCCTTTTACAAAGGTTATGGAACGATAAATTAGGTTGTAATGACCCCATACCCTTTGTTTATATGCGTGAATGATCTTTATTAAAGAACATTTCTCAGTTATCAAGAATACAAATACCTAGGTACGCACTAAATACTATTTAGTGCGAACTATTTAGTAAATAGTTCAGGTAATTCTTTTCAATTACATTGTTTTGTAGTTGCTGCTCAAACAGCATATGGTGCATGTCTATACCTACGATGTGTAAATGGTAAACGTAAATCTGCTATGCGCAAAGGCCTCGGTTACGTCATTTAAATCAATAACAATACCGCAACTGGCGCTGCCCTAGGATCTAGGTTACGTGCTAAGGTTATTGAGGGCATCACTTGTAAGATTAGTAATAACGAACGACACACACGGTCAGTTCAACTGATCGGTTCAAACTAGGACTGTTGATATTTTTTAAAATATCGGATCTTCGATGTATCGATAAATAAACTTATATATAAAACCCCGATATTGATATATTTTAAATTATCGATACAGTAGCGAAGCCTCCATACAAGCCCAGGAGCCCAGCTTGCCTTATCAAGCTGAATCAATCAATAATATCAAGTAATAAAATAACTCGTAAACTGTTTCAAACTATTTCAAATTTCCCGCGCGCTCTGTGCGACCTCGTAGCCTTAGGAATACTGCTGTCATACATATAAGGAGAGTTGAATTGAGCCATTGGTTGTCTCCCTCGCACACGTGGGCTTATTACCGGGCTTTCGAGAAGGCGATCGCTCCCTTTCTAACCTGTGGCAAAATGTTCTATAATGAAACATAACTACGATTGTATAAATAGAAATTATTATGGAGATAAAAGGCCCGGTTTTTGAGTGACCATCAATTATTTCCTCAGAGCGGGACGCCTTTAAAATTATTATAGTTTTAACACTTTTGACTGCCTTCTTGGTCTAATGGTCGTAAACGCAATTGCTGATCATGTGGTCCCAAGTTCGAAACCTGAGTCGGGTCAAGAATCATTTATTGGGTTTTTCTGTCACAAAATTCTCAGTAGCAGTAGTATTACACTTGGGCAATATAATGCAGATGCGCAGATGGCTATTTTCCGTTGAGAATGGCCTTGTTACCAAAATTCAATTTGAAGCCCTTTAATATAGGTTTATAAATAAAACACATAGTTGTTTGAATCTTTTATGATTTAAAGTGAATTCTGAACATCAAATAAATACTAATTGGAAATAACTAACGCTATTTGATAATTTATTGTAGATTAATTAAAAATTGTCACTTCGTACCTTTAAATTCAAAAGTGTAGCTTTTCAGAATAAACACGTAATTATACAAGCCATGCTGGCAAACATGGTACCAGCAGGTGATTGATTCTATGGTACGCGCGATGTCACAATGATGGCACGGGTGACAGAGTTTGCATGATTGTCACGCTTTTGTTTGTCAAAGCGGGACATTTTTACGTATTTTGGGGACAGCACGACACAAACTTTTAAATCGGGAACGTCCTGCCTAAAGGGGGACGTATGGTCACGTTAGGTATAAGACACGGAGGCGCGCAGGCGACGCCGATGATATGTTTGCAAGTCACGTCATATTTCAATATTTACATTGTGTGTTAGCTTGAGCTTAAAATTTGAGTTGAAAATTTATACTTTTTTAAAGATTTTTAGTGAAAATGGAGGAAAAGAGCGTTCTTTGTGATGAATAAGTGTGTTAAAGTGCTAATCAGCGAGGAAAAGGTAAAATCTTTAAAAATAAAATTTTAATTCAATAAACATTTCTTCACACTTTAATAGGTACAGGGCTCTTTAGTATTAAAGTTTAATTATTCTAGGCGTATTTAAAGGTTTAATAACTCAATACTTATATTACCATATGAGTTAAAAATATCATTTTGAACTGCAGCATAAAATATGAGATACCTAGGTATAAGTTTAATTTTATAGCAAATAATTGTTACAATCTTTTTTTTAATGTGAAGCCCTAATTTTAATTTATAAATTAAATGAATACATCATGTAATGAGGTTTTAAAAAAATATTTCCATTAGTCTTCAGTATATTAAATTTTAATAGCACCATCTACTTAATTCTATAGGTGAAGTCATTTTATGGAACGAAAATTGATTGATTCTATGGTTATACAACCTATCTAGCACAGCACTGAATATGAAACTAAAGAGTGGAGACAGATCAAGATTGATGTATGTTTATAAAACTGCTAAAAACAACAAAACCATATCTTGGGCTTGCCCTAGTTTGAAGCCCTAGCTTCGCCACTGCTTAAAGGGATGGAGAATGGCCCTGAAATACAACTTCTGGAAATAGAAAAATATTTACATTTAATTGAAACTGATAATAGATTCAAACATAAATCCCAGGATATGACAGAAGCAAAATGTAATACTAAACATAGAGTATTAACTGCAGACCTTCAAAACTATTTACCAACTCCTTTTTTCACAAATGGAGTTAATTACTATAAGAGAAAATATTAAATTACACTATTTATGATGACAGCTCTGCATTTTGCTTTATGTGGGATGCGCAGTCAAAGACGGGGATCCACACTCCCCCCCTCTGACAGCGGTTAGATAGCTCAATAACGCTTAAAAAGGTGACATGATGATTGGTAACAATACCAAACCATAAATCATTTCATCATCATCCTCACGTCATTGCCTTTCCCTTTTTAATTAGCTGAGATCTTAAGTCAGATGAAGCTGTAAGAGTCGCATAGACTAACAGCGATAACATCCAGAAAATAGACTATGTGGGATGAAACTAAAGTTCAAAGGGGTGGAAATGAAATAGCCTCAGGCATCTTAAACTTGGCAACTAAAAACATACCAGATATTGAATAAATGACCACAGTCAGATAACTATTATGGCCAAAATAAGAATATTTGTGTTGTCATGTGCATTTAAAAAAGATTCATTCTTAAAAAAATTCTCCAGTTGAAAGTAATAGAAGAGAGATAAAATGCAAAAAATTACCTGCTCTAACAAAATTAACACCTTAAGATTGGCAACAATTTATTCGCCAATGTTCTAACAAATATACAGTCATCATCATGGAACTTGAAGATTTTAAAAAATTTTGAAATTTATTATCTTCTAATGGTTCTCTCACTAATAAAAAAATTAATTTTGATAAAGAACCATTTCAAATTTAAAAATCAGTTAGTTTGCAAGTTAGAAAAGAAAACTTTGGGTTTTCATAATATAAAAATTCAGTTCATAATGAAAATTTTAAAATGGACTTAAGACGTAGCAAGAGGAATGTGTTGACTTTTTCAGGAAGTTTAGAAAATTTGAAGTTTGTCATGACTATTGTAAAAAACTCTCACAATTTTCCACTGCATCAGACTTTCCTGATGACTATACTATAATGATTAGGAATAGCAAATAGAACTTGTGATTAATGAAACTTGATCTTTATTGTGCCTTGAGAATCAGAATACCCTAATTCTATTGTTACATGTAACATGAAAATTCATCTTTTGTTTTTAGAGGTAGCATATCACAAGTCCAGTATTTAATTAACTTGTGACCTATCCACGCACAATGATCTCGGCCAACTACAACCGCATATACTATTAACATGCTATGCTGGTACAACACATTTGTTTGCCTACATATTGTAAGCCAAAGTAAATGTTGATGGACCTGCATATATGTGTGAATTTTCAACAGTATACTTTTATAAAATAAAAAGTGAAAATCAACACATATATAATTTATTCAATAAAATTAAGTACTTGTTCCAGAGGATGTCATACTGCCATTTGGAATTCCAGTAGAAGTGCGATTAGCAGAAGCCAAATGGGAAGCTTTTAGTCTATCCAACTCATTCACCCAAGAACGGACATGTTCTAACCGATGCCAAGCCATCTGCAACACTTTCTGTGATGCATATCCAGATCCCTCATGTGGTTGGCCAGTGGACACTTGAGTCAAGTAATTTATTTGATCACTAAGTTTTGATTCAACTTGACTAAGGGTTCGCAAAAATTGTGATGTATTGGTTTCAGCTTGCTTCTGGCTTGATTTTTCTTTACCTAATTCCAAAAGAGCTTGGGCTGAAATAGGAAAATTTAATATTAATTTATTCTTCAAATAAGAAGTCAATTACATTGTTTATTCTATAGTTACCAAAACTAATAAACAACTGCATTTGCCAATCCATCATCCCAGCATGTCAATTATGCTAAACTCCCTGGTATGAGAATCTATAGGGGACTCCCAAGTCAGTGATAACTACTACTAACGAAGGTGTCTAGACTGGGCAAGCGTGCAGTTCAGTTCGAGATATGGGTAGAGCTGTCCGCTAGCAAATGCAAATAAATTTTGGTTCACACATGTGCCGTAAATAACTGTGGGTCATCCTCTTTAAAAACTAAGTAATCAAAGTTATAAGCTATTTTTATTATTTCTGAACAAATAGATAGATAATGACAGAAAAAACTATAACATTGGAACGATCTAAAACTACTCAAGTGAAATTACTTGGTAATTGGTGGAAAAAGAATACATACCAGCACATTGCAAGCAAGTAATAATATCCTTTTCGATATCATCAAGGACTTGGATTCTTTCCATTGGGCCTGCCATTTATAATGAACTTTATTTTAATCATTAAAACCTCACTTTATCTGGTCTGTCTAGTATAATATTAAAATATAAAAAGAAAATCACACAACCTTAACCGTATAATTACTAGATTACATATATTTCTACAGAGAAACATATAACTCCCTGTAGAAACCTTTTCTTCTTCTCTCTCATATCACAGATTACCTAACATACGATATATTTGTAATTTTTTTTATTTAACTGGTTTTACGGCTCTGGTTACTAGCCCTTCTGAGCCTATCATTTCTTTCAGAATATTCATTTTATATATTTCTTTCTTCATAATATGCTGATGCGTCACATTGCGAAGTTTTTGGGAGATTTTGACGACAGCTCAACCCAGCGGACTGTTGATGACGACAGCCACTCAAGTTCATAAGGCGCCCAAGCGATCAAAATAACTTGAGGTTTATATCGACATCAAAGCACTTGTTTCGTCGTTTTCTCTAATAGTTCACACGCGGGGACACTTAATTCACAAAATCGCATAACTTTTACGAATCAAAATCTACTTCAAACCATTATTCAAGCGACAAAACAGGAGCGACAATCCGTCTACGGCCAAGTTCCCGCCAACCTACCTGCACAGACTACTAAGAGGACACTGCGCATACCTATTGTCGTAGACAGAGAAACCTATAGACTAATGATCGGCCCTCAAAAGGACGAAATGAATTTTTAGGTACAATAATCTTGCTTTTAAACACATTTAGATAAAAATTTTAATTAAAATATTGTTAAATTTTAATTGTTCTAAGAACTGAACTGAACAAGATTCACCAATCTTAAGGTCACAAAACACTTTTTTCTCACTTAAACCAACTTGTAAACTCCTTAAATCGCTACGCTGTTAAAGTTGTTTAGCAAACTATAGAGTTTGCTAAACAAAAAAACCGGCACGGAGAAAGGGACAAACAATCACACCGCTCTATCTCATTTCTATGCAAGACGTATGCATAAATCTATCTTTTTCGTGTGCGAATGCGAAAGAAGTCGTCAATTTGTCTATAGGTTTCTCTGTCTACGCCTATTGTAGTCTTTGCCATAGACTTAGGATAGTGATAAACGGACATAGTGTGCGAGTGAGAAGAAAACTCCTTATGGCAATACACCAAAATAGAAAAGAATAGCAAATCTCACGACTTTGTAACCGATTTTGATTGACAGGTAAGGATGTCGATTCTTTCCTGAAAAGATCGATTTTCAAATCGATTCTTATCGAAATCTGATGAATCGATTAACAAAAAAATCGTAGTCTAAAAATTAAATTTCTAAAAAATTCTTAAAAATCTTTTTTCGATTTGCTTTCAGCATTGTACAGTTACAATATCAAAAGATACAACAAAGTATATATTACAAACGTAACTTACTTTTTATTTCTTTCATCTATTAACAAGAGGCGTAAAAAATTTACCAAACAGCACTTTTGCGAGTTTTTAATAGCAAAACTGTCATTCTTTACGAGTTTGGGTACACGCATCTAGTTGTAAATAATTTTATAGTTTATAATAAGGGAAAAAGATTTGATCTCGATTTTCTAGGGTGAAATATCGATTCATTGGATCGATTAGCACTGTATATCGATTCAAAAAATCTTTGAGTATTAAACCAACTGGTTGAGGTCATGCGCGTTAATTTCTAAACAAAAATTCTGTCAACATCAGGGGGGCGCAAGAGAAACACACAACTGTATACTTAACTACAAATGCAAAATTAAATCGCGTTACTATAAACGCACACTACAGCATTTATCTTTGTGTTCATTGTATTTACGCATACCATCAAATTGTACACGTGTCGATACACTGTTGCCGCTGTCCAAATGCGTAAGCAACGTAGGGCGTGGACTATGTCGATATTTTTTATCGATAGACAAATCACCATAGTCCGCATATGTTTTTATTTGATTATAAGTAACATATAGATAAATAATACCAAGGTGTTATTTGAAAATATTTTTTTCAAATATTTAAAAATGATCTTCAGAAAAAAGCTTTGAAATTATTGAAAGTATATATATATATATATATATATATATATATATATATATATATATATATATATATATATATATATATATATAATTTGATAGATTAATGCTTTTGTAAATTTATCGAAATTCTAAAATATTTTCAAGTGGAATAATATTGGTGTCAAAGGTAATAATAAAATATTTAATCTAAATATAATTACAGACAAACATTACCTCCCACAAGTTCAAGGTTGGTACTGCAGTGTCAGCTAACCTTCTATTATTGTTAGCTTCGGGTATGAAATATGATTTTTCCCCATATTAAAAAAAACGTTATCCAAGATTAATGGTTTCTACAAGTTGCAATCCAAGTTTGCTGCCTACGAGGATCTCTTGGAAGTCTGTAAAAACAAACCAATAATAGAAAAATTTACTACTTTTGGTAATACTTTATTATAAAATCTAAATAAAAACTAAAAACCGGTTCGGCAGACAAACCCGCGTGGTTAATTAACTTATCGATAGCTAAAGTTGTGGCGTACATCACTATATTGCAATACTTTTGGTTACAGTGATACCAGTTTATTTTTATAAAAATTGCACGCTTTTGCTGCGAGGTAGCAAGTTTCGATTTGACTTATTTGGCTTTTATTTTGTATAATATTTTGATAAAATAATGGTTATCGATTATATTAAATTATATAATATTCAGAATCATGTAAAAATTGAGATGAATATATAAATCATTTAACAAAATCCACTACACATGTATATGTAATGATTATTATTCATCACAAACTGATTAAGTTATTAGGAAATACATTTTCGTTAATATAATCAATTTGTGTAATAAATTATATTTATTTAAAAATAGATTATTTGTCACTTTATGATTTATGATGGCCACACTTGGTATTTGACAATAATATTCAGAAAGTACGAGTTTTAATGATAATATTACTTGAATATTATGTTAAAAATACTCACAGATGAAAAGTCACGTTGTCCTTTTGTAGATTTAACGTTTTTGATTGTTTTTTGCACGTAAATACACAGCAATTCGGCATTTTGTCGGAGCTCGATTTAGTGGCACGATCACTTCAGAATGGCGCACGACGTGAAGCAACTAGTTTTATATAACGGGTTTGAGTCGGACTCTCGTACCTTTTACAGAGGGATATGGCTTGCGATGTCGTCTCCTTTGGTTTAATACTCAAAGCAAAAAATCTATATTTTTGGCACAAGAAATCGATTCTTAGATTAATCGATCTCAGATCGGCATGCCTACAGCATATTAACATGTTGGCACAAGTAGGCATGCAAAAAACAAGCTCTTAGATATTTTATAATTTTTTAGATTATCAAGGTGTTAATTTTTTAGATTATTAAGGTGTTAGTTTTACAAAATGGTTATATGATCCTCCGGATTCTATAATTAGAAAAACATGGTAAAGTTTGGTATAAATCCAAATAAGAACTCAAAAATTTGCAATAAACATTTTCTTGAAAAAATAAAAGAGTAAGTAGAGAAAACAATTCTACTAAAAGTAGCCATTTCTGCATTATTTGTACCAGTAAGTATATTGTTATAATAAGACTTCAAAAATTTAACTTCACAAACTTTTGATAAAAATAGAGATAGATTTTTATATATTATAAAACTAATTAAGTCATTATGAACCCAACTAAGTATCTATTTATCAACCGAAAAAATGTATAACCTTTCTTAACCATCCGTACCTCACGGGTCACACCAGTACAATATTCATAGTATCTCGCTATTTTCCACAAGGGATTGAGCAGTGCTTCGGAATTTATTCCCAAGTCACAATCACAATGATAAAACTTAGTGTGGTTAGGTATAGATATTTAGTAATGTACCTGACCGCCGAAAGACGCCCGCGCACGAGACGCGCGGTTCAGTGTGCCAGGATAGTATAAACTCCATAGTATTTGATACTCACAACGTTCGATGCCCGATTCATTCATTCATTCAACGCTTGATGGCCGACGACAGTGTGCCGAAATCTTAATAACGTGCGCCTACAGCATTAGTTGTAGAGAAGAGGAACTCGTGGTTAAGTAATAGTTGTGCGGATAAATAGATCTGCGAGATTAAGCTGCACTTGCCGCAGTCAGTCCATGGATGGGTGACCGTTTTCTTAACATTTTTTTATTAAGTGCGAGCAGTTATGCAGGTCTAGGGAAAGAGACCAGTATCACTGCGACCTAGAAGATCTATTGTGATCGCTGCTATGGCTATAGTTCACGGCTAAGCCCTATGTATTCAATGAATAGAAGGAGTTGCTTAGCCGTGAGCAATTTCACTTCTTCTGGGTGGAGTACATAGTTTCCCAGATGAGTGTTACGTTTGCGCATTAAGGGTCCGCAATCAGTTAGGATGTGTAGAGGCGCGTCTTCCGTTATGGAACAGAACCGACACATCCTTGAGTAGCTTAGTCCCAGGATGGACATGTATTTTTTAACACAACAGCGTCCAGTTAGGGCTCTTGCCAGAATGTGCAATTTATTTTTACTTAATTCCAGGGCTTGTGAAGCGAATTTACGATCAAAAGCCCGGATTAAGGTTTTATTGTGATAAAGAGTTTTTTCTTAACATGGTGTCCCAGAAAGAATAAATAATCCTGGAGCGCCTAAAATTACAGGTATCAGGTGCTCGAATAAAAATACAAAAAAATATTTCAAGTGGTGCCAAAAATATGAAGGTTTAAAAAAATATGTTTTTATTGACTTTACTGTACTTTTATATACACCACTGCCGCAAATTAATGAAAATCGTTACGTTTTTGGTATTCTCTTATTCCTCAAAGACTGTTCTATTAGAAATGCAGTAAAGAGTATGAGTATCTATTGTACTTTCTTGCAAAAAAATAAAAACTTTACTTTTTAGCATGAAATTTTATAAAAAAAATTTGACCAAAGTTTGAGAGCCATTTGTGAAAAAAAAGTATGAAGACCTAAGTGGCCAACTATTTCAAAAATATGCGCAGTCAATACAATTTACAAAATGGTAAAATACATAATTTTGTTTAACGTTTAGATGCAAAAAGAATAAATTCGACAGAAGAAAGAAAAAATAGTCTTGTCTACATTGTCGTAATAAAAGCGTTAAGTTGTATATAAATCAATCTTTATTTCATAACAGGTGTTCGAATTTTCTGCCACCGACTCCGAAAAGTTGACCTTTTTCAATAAAATGCTCTTTTAAGAAGTCGTGCGTAGCGCCGTTCAGTTATTTTTGAAGCGGCCTCCTGCACACGACTGCGCAATTCCTCCAAACTTGAAATAGGCTTGAAGTACACCTGTTCTTTTAGACAGCCCCAGTAAAAAAAAATCTAGTGGATTTAAGTCTGGGGATCGTGGAGGCCACAAAATGAGACCTAAACGACCAATCCATTTATTTGTATACGTGGCATTTAAATACACACGGACGTTTGCGGCATAATGTGCAGGACAACCATCATTTTGTAGCCAGTGGGATTGTCTCGCTTCCTCAGGCATTAAATTTGGCATATCATTTTGTTAAAAATTCAGATAAGGCCATAAATTTATTTTGAACTGGTATTGTGATCTTTCTTCTCGCATCAGATGCAGATTTGAGAGTTGTCAGCTATGCTGATTGTGCATGTTAAAGTATCCGCCTTTTTTAAGAGTGGATTCATCGATCCACAGAATTTCGTCGAAGAATTGTGGATCTTGTTCTATTTGTGCAAGCAATTGTCGACAAAAAACAATCGTGTGTTGTAATCTCTAGGTTGTAGAGCTTGGACGCGTCTAATGTGGTATCACAAAGCAAAACTAAGAGTCCAATGAAATAGCCAGGAGTTGTCGTTATAAACTTTTTAAAATACAGAAACTACAAAAGGAATGCACACATGCGATGACCAACAAGTTGAGAGACACACTAAATACTTGCCTCAGTGTTGCCAACTGCTAGCTTTACCCAGATAGCTAGACATTTTCAAAATGTTGCTAGATTTCCAGTTTTTTTTTAACCTAAAATTTGCTAGAAGTAGCTAAATGTTACAGTAGATAAGTAGGTTACAATAAAATGCCAGTTTCTGATAATCATTTTTTCCATTAATTCCAACGAGAAGTTAAATTAAGTCCTGTGTACGCAATTGAATAAAAAATAAATTAAACAATTAAACAGGAAGATGTCGCTGGCTGGGGTTAGTATCTTTCATTGATTTCAAATATTTTTCAACGGTGCCCATTTTATGCAGTACGTCTTTGAGCAAAACACAGTTATAGCAGCATTTACCACTTTTCCTGAGGGAGTATCTAATGCAGAGGATTGAGGTCAGAGTTTTCAAACTCATTCTGTTTCTTTGCTTATTTTTAACTAAATTCATTTGAGAGAATAGCCTTTCTACCTCTGCATTAGAATGTGGCAGTGAAAGGCAAGTTAAAGCAAGAGTACTTATATCTTGATATATGTTGTCACCGGAAGAATTTCAAAATTTTTTTACTTCGACCCAAAATTGAACTATTTCTTCAGAATGCCACTTATTTATATGTAGAATGTTCCACTGTTGCATTATCTTGTCTATTATTTCTGGTGTAAATCCCAAAATTTCAGCAACGTCGATGAAAGTGTTTGACTTAATAGTGTTTGACTTAGCAACGCCATTGATTCTAGCTGCTTGTAGTTGTTTAGAAGCCTTTGTTGCTATTCCTTAAGTAATTGCAGTAAGAAGGCGGAGCAGCGTTGTCGTATTGCATTTCAAATTTTGTAGTCTAAATTATGTTGAGCAGTTTCAAACATGTAGCTAAGATAAGGCCTAGGGTTAATATCCCTGTCAGTTATTGGATCTAATAAGTTTCTGTTTACAGGTCTTGGCATTAAAATTCTCCGGCTCACCGATTCTATCAGTGTTGTGAGTGTATTGAGAAGTTTTAATGGATTTGAGTCACAGTGCTGTTTGAACATCATTTAAAACGATTTTCAGAAACACAATATATAAATAATTTCTTTTGTCTTCGAGCATCTTGTAAATAAGCTCAGCTGAGTAGCAATTGTCTTTCCCTCTTGCTAAATTAAAATGTATTTTCAATTCTTCCCATTGTGTCACAATTTTTGTTATAGCTGGCTCTATTGAAAACCAACGTGTATCGCACACCTTGGTGATTTTCAACGGACTTTCGCCACATTTTATAAGTTCGTATATTTTTGTGTATTCGTGTCACTGCTTAGGAGACACAGAAAACCATTTATAAATTTCTCTAACCAAAAACTCTAAATTTCTTGGCAGAGTATTTTCGGAGGCATGAGTCACTGCTAACTGCAACGAGTGGCAAACACATCATATCAGTATCAAATTTTCTATACCATATTCTCTTTTTAGGATTGCATGAACCCTGTCATAACAGATGCATTATCAGTTCCAATTCCAATCATTTGTTTGATATCTAAGTTTTGACTCTCTAAGCATGATACCAAGCCATTAACGATTCCCTTAGCATCTGCACTCTCAATAGAAACTAGTTCCAGGAATGAGCTTACTATCCTTTCCTGTGCGGCACTATAATGCCTAATTACAAGACCAAGGTGTCCATTATAATGCTGAACTTTTGGTTTCCAATATAATCTAAGAGCTCCTTCAAAGTGCGATCAGACATTTTTCTTTATTTCTGTACATTTAGTGCGATGCAATTTAAGCTCCTGTGTAGCTTTGGAGTCTTTGAAACACATTATGCATAGTTCACCTAAATGGTCAACACTTATTATAGAACAGTGCTCGGCAATAAATAAGGTCAATGCGCCTTCAGATTCATCGCAAGGTCTTTTGGTACAACTTTGAAAGGAATTTATTTATTGCCTGTAAAGACAAAATTAATATACATACAAATTGGTAAAATGAAAATATCAAACTCATTTATCCCATCGATGGAGTCTGATATCAACAAAACGAATTTTAAATTCATTCACGTACCTGTTTTGAACTCTACTTTCTGTTTATGCTTTTTGGTCTCAGCATGCTTCTTTATATCAAACAGTTTAGCAAGAATCTCCGTAGAACAATATGTACAAAATGCTTTGCTTGTGTCTCCACTTGCCGATTTTAGCCAACCTTTAAATTCGTCCATATTTTCCCACTCCGGTCTGTATTTCTGTGCGTAGGTTTTTTTCAAAGGTAAATCTATTTTCAAATTAAATTAAATTTGTTTTATATGGATAAAACAAAACAACACAAGGTAGAACACGAATAGCACGTACTATTTTATTTACTAAGTATTCTGTCGCAGAGGAAACGGGGAATTCCCGGCCAGCGTCGACCTGTACTTACCGTAGCATCTATGACCATAGGTTTTTTCATTCGACTCGGCACACTACTTGACGAATTTCGATAGACTCACGTCTCATGATGAAATGAAAAGTTGCTAGAAAAAGTAGCTGAAAAGTTTAGCTACAACTTTTATTAAATTGTAGCTGTCTGTCACCAAATAATAGCTAGATCTTGACTTGCCTTTGTTATGTGCCTAGTCACGCAAGGAAAGGTACGTATGTAATTACATTATAAATTCTCTCGGTCACTCAAACTCTATCTATCTCTCGGAATAAACACAAGATGGGTAGCGTGGACCACACTCAGGTAGTAAAAACCGATGTAATGCGATCTTTACTACAATAAAAAGGAGTCTTTCACTCAAGAACGCCCTTGTAATATTCAACGTTAAAGAAAAGATTTTTTCTTTTATTTTCTATGTTTGAAAAAAATATGTATTATACCATTTTGTAAACTGTATTAACTGAGCATATTTTTGAAATAGTTGGCCACTTAGGTCTTTATACTTTTTTCACCAATGGCTCTCCAACTTTTTTCAAAATTATTTTTTTATAAAATTTAAACTTGAAATTTTTTTTGTAAAGTACAATATCACTTATACTCTTTACTGCATTTCTAATTGAATAGCTTGTGAGGAGTAAGAGAATAGTGAGGTCATTACAAACATATTTTTAACCCCTTCATATTATTGGCACCACTTAGAATATATATTATTTTGTATTTATTTTGAGCGCCTGATACTTGTACTAATAGGCGCTCCAGGATTAGCCATTGTTTCTGGGATATCCTGTATATCCTGTATATATTTTTTAAAACCTTCATATTATTGGCACCACTTAGAATATATATATTATTTTGTATTTTTATTTGGGCGCCTGATACTTGTACCTTTAGGCGCTCCAGGATTATCCATTCTTTCTGGGACATCCTGTATATTTCCCTTATATACATATAACATAAATTGAAAGAATAAGTAGTGCATAATATATATCCACAGACACTTGGTGCACTTTAATATCTCCTGCATATTTAGCTAGTCTCTTTTAAGATCATTATGTTTTTAAATTCATGAAGCCAAAACGATCATAAGTTTATTATTACTTTATATTTTTCAGGGTCAGATGAAATAGAGTATTCTTGTTGTTGGGCTTTAAACCGAGCAATCTTATTTAATTGATTCCTATAAGTTGTCTTACTTAAATTATTAAGTTTACATTAATATTCCAATATAATAACTGTCGTTTTAATTTGAAAATTAATGAAGTATCATCAGCAAATAATACTATATCATGGTTATCCCCTACTATGTAAGGTAAGTCATTAACATATACAAAAACAGAAAGGGGCCGAGAATTGAGCCCTGAGGCACGCCCATTTGTACAATCGATGCGGAAAAACTCTTACTATTAATGATAACTTTTTGCGTTCTGTCACTTAAATACGAAATAATTAATTTAAGAGCATCACTTCTTATACCGTAGTGTTGAAGTTTCCTGATTAGATTTAGATTAGACATGGTGAACACAATTTAAGGCTTTGGATAGGAGACAGAATATACCCAAAGCATCCTGTGTATTCTCCCATGCATTAAAGATATATTTAATAAGCTCAACACCAGCATCATTTATCGAGATACCCCTTGTGAAACCAAATTGAATTTTATGAAGAAAATTAAACACACATAAATCATGAATAAAACAAGTTTATTTTTTTTACTTTATCAACGTAAAGGACAGTGGCGAACTCCCAAATAATTTTTAGTTTACTGTTTTTTCTTGCGTCTACAAATGCAAAATATGTAAAAATATAGTTTAAGATCCTTAACATTTTTCTCTTCGGTCATACTACTGCAGGAAGTCAGGAATTAGAGATATTCCAGTTTAAACAAAATACACATCAGACTTGGCTGTATGGTATAAAACGCCTTAACTGGAAAATCTTTACAACAACAACTAGTCAATATAATTTTCATTTATGTTTGTAAAGGGTAGTTACTAGCACAGAGGAAATCCTTAAAGAACGCATTAGCATATATAGAAGAGTTTTCTGAATAAAATACACGTCACGATGCATGACTCGCAGTAGCATAAACCCCGCAAAACCACTACGCGTACAAGAATGAAGACGAATTAGAGTAGCTCTTATCCACCACTCACTACTCGGCAGTGTAGAAACGGACTCTCCGTTACTTCTTTGTTACGTGGTAGAGCTATGCTGCAGTTATATAAGTAGTACAGTTGTAGCACGAATGGGTCGGCTCGACCGGGGGAGGACCACGCTCTCACAGAATACCAGCGTGAAATAATAGCTTAATACTGCTGTGTTTCGTATGGTGAGTGTAGAGAACCGGAGACCCTTTTTACTGGAAACGAGGCATTCCACCTAAGTCCTTACGGGTGACAACGCATCTGCATTTTGATTCATAATCGAGGATAGATGTAGATGTCTATGAGCCACAGCAACCATTTACCATCAGGTGGACTGTGTGGTAGTTTGTCATCCTATACAAAAAAAACTATATGAAAAAACACGTCAAACCGGCTTTATGTTATAAGACCTTTGTCTGTCTTAACTTACGAATCGTAACAACTACATCAACTAGTCAATTATAAGTTTTGAATTGTGCATGATTATTTTTTCTATAGCCCATAAGCTTGATTAGATAATACATAGTAAATTATTTTATTGATATCTGTAATGGTGACTTAAGTAGACGCTTAATAATTCCATCACCTATTATTTTGCCATTGTCCTTTGTGTGGGCAAAAAAACTCATACAAGGCCGCGCTGAAAAACACCACTACGTAATTTATATCTCCCGCCATTTCTGGAGCTTACTGTGCGTAATTTTGTGATTTTGTATTTGTCTTATTTTGTGACTCTGTTTTAACTTTTTGGACTGTTTCTTATAAAGCATGTGCCCATGTCAAAAAACGATGATTGGGCAAAAGAGGTTGAAAAAACAAAAAAAAGATTATGGTTTACTTTGAGAGACATTCATTTTGACTGCATTATTGAAAATCAAATAGTACTTAATCTAAACAACGACATCTCGAGTAGTTGTACTGAAAGTGTTGAATAAATTTATTTTTAATCTAGTTTCAATCTAAAATTTTTATAATTGTGCCTCTAGAAATAAGCAGCTACAAAAAATACAAAGAAACTGATAAATCTTGTGTTTTAAATTATCCGTTTTTAATTTATTCTGGTATTATTCAAACCAAACTACAAATGATTATTAACCCTAAATAGTCGATATCGATTTTTTTAAGAAACGAATATACTTGGTGCAATAAGTCTGACACCTGTCAAAATGTATTCTTAGATTTGTATGGAGTGTAGAAGCAAGGAGTACCAACTCCCATAGTAGAATAGTTGAAAAAGTGGCTATCTGTAATCAGTAAATAACAGCTCAAAAACTCTCCACAACAGCGCTGGAGTAGCTACTGAGATGAATTAAACTTAGCGGTTGTCGACAGTTTAAGTGTGCTGCTAACCTGCTCAGTAGCTCTAAAATCTAAAATAATTTTGTTTAGTAAATATAAACTCGAAAAAGTCGTCTATCCCACTAATATTTTTCGGTGCGTTATTTAAGGTATACCCCGTAGTTATAGTGTCGCCACCCTTATTTAACGGTTTTCTATGGACACTTTTTAATACACAGTCTGTACTCCTTACTTCTACACTCCATATTAGATTTGGTTGACTATAAGTACCCACAGTATGGAGTGTAGAAGCAAGGAGTGCCAACTCCCATAGTAGAATAGTTGAAAAAGTGGCCATCTGCAAGCAGTAAAAAACAGTTCAAAAACTCTCCACAACAGCGCTGGAATAGCTACTGGGATGAAATGAACTTAGCAGTTGTCGACGGCTTAAGTGTGGTGCTAAACAGCTCAGTAGCTCTAAAATCTAAAATATTTTTATTTAGTAAATATTACCTCGAAAGAGTCCTCTATCCCACTAATATTTTTCGGTGCGTTCTTTAAAGTATACCCCGTATTTCCAGTGGCGCCACTCTTATTTAACGGTTTCCTATGGACACTTTTTAATACACAGTCTGTACTCCTTACTTCTACACTCCATAACGCACAGAAATGTCGCATATCTGAACAAATTAATTTCATAATCTATATTCCATGACACGAGATGGTATCTTAGGAATAATTCGTTTTATTATTAATCTGTAATACTTTTTTATCGATTAAGTATCTTATTAGCCGATGAAAAGTAATTTCTTGGATTTTACTGACATTTCTTGAATTATTTGTGCAATATCTAAGTACACATATTTTTATAAATAGATTGTTTTTTAAATCAACACAACACGTGACAACTCTACAAGCGCCTAGCGCATAGAGGTTACAGAACAAGAGAACGATCGCTACGTGCTAAAGCATAGCCCGTCTGTCCCTGAAAATTTGTAGAATTTATAGCCGCGCTGCCGTCGGTAAGCAATTTCTGCGAAGTAATATTTTAATGACAAAAAGAAACATTAAAATGGTGAAACAATTATAATAAATAAATAATATAAATATATAATAATTAATAATTCATATTGGAAATAATTTATAATAATTAATAATATTTATAATAATTTACATTATAAAAAACATAATTTATAATTTATTTATTAATAAATAACAATAACTTCGTTGTTTTCTTTTTTCTTTGAATGATATTACAATAATTTCAAACTAACGCACAACAGCCCGCTTTTATTGAGGTAATAAAAAATAAGCGATCGCCTCACTTATTTTGTCCACATTTCTGGGACACTATTTTCTACAGCGATCGTTCTCCTGTTCTCTAAGCTCTACGGCCTAGCGAGTGACTGATTAAAGTGCGATGTAAGCACTAAAGTTGTTCAAAATTACTATAAATCAATAACACGCTACAGACTATAAGCTATTCTAGCGCGCTCTTACATAGGCTGCATGCACTAAAAGTATCGGGAATGGAATATTTCCACAGTTCCTGTCATATTAAAATCTTTTTAATTGAAAACTCCTTGGTTTTAAAAATCAAATACCATTTATTTATTTAAAAAAAGATTCTCGGTCTTGTCACAAGGTTTTGT